GGAAGTCAAGTGGCTGGGCTGGTTCATTTCTCCTCTCGGACCCAGGCCGAGGAGGGATCACCCGCTATCCACCAACTCTGCCGGTCAGCGCCGGAGTGGTGAGAGGCAGAGAGCCCGGGCAGCTCGCCCGGCGTCGTTCAACCTCTGCTCTGCGTGTGGGTAAAGGGTGGGGTCCCCGCGTGGCCCAGAGGCCGGGGGTCTTTCCTGAGAGTTTGGGGGTGGAGTGAGGTGCTGGACTTTGGCTTTAGCTCTTTCGTGCCATGGGAGCCAGTTCAGGGTTTGAGTAAGGAGAGATCTCTGATTTGATTCTAACAGAACAAACCGTAGAGGGCAGAGGGGATGCTGGGAGCTGCGGGAGCTCCAGGCACGTGGTGGTGGTAGCCTGGGGCAGGGTAGGGCCTGGGGGGCGTGGTCGGTTACCCTCTGGTATACTCTGAAGGGGCTGATAAGCTCTGCGGATGGATGAATGAGCGGGGTGGGGTGGGGGTGTGACAGACAGCAGGAAGTTGAGGACCATGGGGTCCCAGACCAGGCTGACAGCTGAACCTGCTGTCTTTCTCTCAGCAACTGGGCAGGGCACCTGATGTGTACCCTCAGGAGACCCTGGGGACAGAGGTGAGCCTGGCAGACGTGGCCCTGGGGAGAGGGGAGGGCAAGACACCCCCTGGGGTGAGTCTGCCCGGTGGCCGTGGGGTGGTAGAACAGGATGTCCAGGACGTTCTTGGAGCTGCGGAGCGCTTGAAGCAGCAGACAGCCTAGCGGCCGACGGCGCTGCGGAGGAGACTGCCCCCCGCCCCCATACATGCGCACTTACCCAGCGGCTGTGCACCTGCACCAGGGCTCACAGGATAGGTGTGTGCTATGACACAAATGAGAGCAGGCATGTAAACAGGTGCCATGAATTCCCGTAAGCAGAGTTCTGGGAGTTTCCTCTTGTTTGTTCTCAAGGTGGACATGCCGCCCGGCCCGTGTGTAATCACACACACACACACACACACACACACGTCTAACCACACACATGTTTAATCACATGTGTGCCCAATCATACATGTCTGTCCGCACATGTGTCTAACTACACACATGTGTCTAATCATGAAAACACACCTGGCCTAGTTCCTGCCTGACCACTGCCCTCATCCCCTCACTCACTGTCTTCCCACAATCCTTTGCCCTTTGTTCACCTGCCTTGCACTCTTGTCCATCTGTCGCCACCCCCACACCCTTGTGCACCTGGAGGGAGCTCCCCTCCTCACACCGGAGCCCAGTCTGCCGGGGTTCCTCGGGCCCCACAGGGCATTCTGAGGCTCACCTCCTCAGTCCTCCATCCCCACCTCCCCCTCATCCTCTCGCAGGCTGTGGACCCCCCTGTTCCAAAGAGAAACAGGCGCCTGCCTGGCACCTGCAGAATCACCCAGGCATCCACCGGTGCCTGGGGGTTTTCTTCAGGCTCAGAGGGGAGGGCTCCTCCTTGGCCAAGGCCACTCTTCTCCCTGCTGCGCTGTGGTCCTGTGCCCTAACGGGCTCCGCAGACCCTCCTGTGTCTCCAACTGCGTCCCCTTGGTGTCACCTCCGAGTATCTCCTTCGCTGAAAAAAGAAGGGAGAGGAAGGAGAGAAAGGGTGCGAGGGCCAGGGCTGATCCTTTCCTCTCAGCCACAGAAGTCCACGAGCCTGGCCTCCGCGCCCTCACTTCCCGCTAGCTGCTTGCCCTGCGGTCCCCTCCCAGTTCCCAAGTCCAAGGGCCATGGCCCAGCCCTCGTCTTGCTCCCCCTCTTGACAAACTTCACCTTGGAGCTCAACAGCCTCTTTCGGTGAACTCTGTCCATCACCGAGCATGGGCTCATCCACCAAGCTCACCAGCCCCAGGCACCCTCTGCCCCCAGAGCCCCAACCCTGGACCCACCTGGGTGAGAATCACAGCCAGCCTGGGCTGCGGGCTCCACCCAGCCCCCTTCCCAGACTGCACTCAGCAGACAGGGGGATCCCGCAGGGCCCAAGTCAGACCCTGCCAGAGGCTCCATCTTCTCCCACTGACAGCCAAAACCTTGCTCCCTGGAACACACCCCGCCCATACACCCCGTGGCTCACCTCCGACCTCCTTCAGTCTCTGCTCCAATGTCACCTCCTCAGAGAGGCCCTCCATGTCCAGCCCATGTATAAGGGCCACCCTCCTCCTCGTACTCTCTGTCCCTTCACCTGGCTCTCTGGTTTCTTTGGTTTTGCCTTAACACCTCTCACTACCTGATGTTCTTATTTTTTAAAACAAATATTTATTTATTTGAAAGGCAGAGTGACAGAGAGAGAGAGAGAGAGAGAGAGAGAGACAACAGCTGGGACTAGGCCAGGCCGAAGCCAGGAGCCAGGAGCTTCATCCGGGTCTCCCACACAGCCGCAGGGGCCCAAGCACTTAGGCCATCTTCTGCTTTCCCAAACGTGTTAACAAGGAGCTAGATTGGAAGTGGACCAGCTGAGACAAACAGGTGCCCAAATGGGATGGCAGCTCTGCAGACGGCAGCTTTACCCCCTACCTCACAGCACCGGCCGCCCCTACCTCATGTTCCTAAAAGCATTTCTTTGTGTCTGTGAGGTCTGAGAGGGCAGGGACCAAATCTGCTCTGGTCACGACTCGGTCCCCAGGACCCAGAACAGCACGTGGCACAACAGGTGCTCCCTGGATGACTGCTGACCGTATGGCCACTCTCGCAGCCGCTCTCTCAGTGCCCACAGCTCCGGCCCGTCTGCGATGATGCCACTTGGCAGCTGATGAGGTCCTGAGCCCCAAACCCACAACTGACTCCCCTCTGTGGGCCCAAGGGTGTCTCAACTCCACAATGGCCTGGGACTCGGCCCCTCCCTCCCCAACAGGAGTGCTCCTCAGTTGTAGCTGTCATACTCCCCAGCCAGCAGGCTGCAGTAGCCCTGGACAGGCTCCTGCCCCCTCCACCTAGCAGCAGGCCATGTCCTTCCTGTGACCAGAGTGCCAGGGGCTTGGGAAACACTGGCTGAGTCCGGGCATGGGGTTAAGCCTGGGTTTCAGGCCTGCCAGGTCCCCGGCCCGACTCTTCAGCCTGCAGTGGGATGTGTCCTCCAGGTGCCCACCCACCTGGCCCAGTGATCCTGGGCAGGGCTCCCATCCCCCTACAGGGCCACGGGGCCAGAGAGCTCTGATGAGGGAGTCCAGACAGCCTGAGCTCACCCCCTGGGCCAGCCCTTCCTTGCCAGGTGGCCATGGCTGCATGAGCCTCTGCAAGACAGAGAAAATCAGGGGATCCCAGGGGGTGGCTGGGAAGACCAGTGAGACCCCTCTCGGGCCACGCTCGGCGTGCTGCCTGGCTGCATGCTTACGGAGACCAGCGTGCAGAAGCTCCGTGGGCATTCATTCACCTCGGCACAATCTCTGCTTTGAACCCCTGCTTCACTGGACGGGGAACTCTGTCTTGATCAAGCCAGGCCCCGGGTCGCAGACCCCTCGGGGTTGTAAATGCCACCTGTGCACGGGGGTATTCTGGAGAGGTCCTCGATCCTGGGTGGTCTCTAGGGGGGATCCAAGCTGATGCTTGCTATTACCGCCTCCTGGAAAGGGGCTCCTTGGTCCCTTGATTGGTGCCTGGTCACTCTGTGCCTGGGCAGCCTGCCCCAAATCAGACCCATTAGTGTAAACACACCTGGTACCCACTGTCCCTAGGTCTGTCCCACTCCTGCAGAGCAGCAGAGCCTGAAGTTGACAGCTGCTGGGAGCTGAGGCCCAGTTCTGCCTCTTCCTCTTCCTCTTCCTAGCTGTGTGACCTGGAGCGAGTCGCTTCCCCTCCCCGAGCCTCAGTCTTCGTGCCTGCTGAGTGGAGCTGACAGTGCTACCTACCCCACGATGATTTAATGAGCCAATGCCCATGCAGCCCGTGGCCTGGTGCCGGGAACACAGCACACTCTGCGTGCACGTTGGTTCTTTCCCCGCGGGCTCTCCCTGCAAACAGAGACACAGTCCTGCAGCTCTTAGGCCCTTCCTCCCTCCACCAGGCTGAGATGCCTGACCCCGGGCTCACAGGAATCGTCCTCTCTTTCTGAGTCGGGGATACTTGCTAACATCTGCAGCTGTGACCGTGACCTTCTGGTTCTTCTGTTGCTCTCAGAGCCTTTGAAACTCAAAGACTTCCTTTTGGCTTTTGCTCTAACATCCCAGAAGAGAGAGAAAGAGAAAACCAAAACAAAACAAACAGTTTCAAAATAGTCTCTAATTGCACCAGCAGCAGCAGCAGCATTGCCACTGAGGCTGCCCAAGTCCCTGGCTAGAGTCTGTTCCTCTGAGTGGCCACAGGGGGCGCCCTCCCCATTGTGAGCTCCCAGAGGCCAACAGCTACTCAGCCCATGCCCCCAGCTCCTCTGCACTCCCTACCATGTGCAGGTGAGGAAGTGGAGGCCAGAGAGGGACAGCGGTCTGCAGTAAGA